CAAGCTTTCTTCCCCAATCTTGAGCTGGCGGAAGCAATTGAGGTAGATGATGTCTGAAGGGCTGCCGCTGTCTATGAGGACTCGTCTGACCTTGTAGTTGGAGAGGATGGCGGAAATGACAAGGGGGTCATCATGTGGGTAACAGATTCCTGCGCAGTCGGTGTCGGTGAAGGTGATGGGTTCGATCCATTGTTTTGACTGTTTGGGAGGTCGGTCCACCGTCGCCACTGCGTTGTCTGAGCCCTGCCTGATTTTTCTGAGCTCTGCCTTCTTAGCCGAGCGGGATGGTCCCCCGCAAGCAAGGCCACCTGAAATGACTCTGATTTCTCCGACTGGTGGAGGGGGATTACCTGGAGGCCGAGGCCGTGGTGGCGGGCGATCGTGGCCTTGGTTAGGTGGGACTTGATTGCGGGGTGGTGTGTGTCGGCGATTGTTCCTGGGAAGGTCGGTTCTTTGCCTCTGTGGAGGGCGGGTGTCTGTGAATCGGCTGAGGCGGCCCTGGCGTATGAAGGTCTCGATCTGATCTTTGAGGTTAATACACTCGTCGGTGGTATGACCATGGTCTTGGTGGAAAAAAACGATGCCAAACAGGCCGGCTTGATAGGTGTTTGTCATGATAAATCATGTAACATAGAAATAAAATTTTAAAAAATAAATAAAAAAAGAGTGAGGAAAAAAAAAACTTCTTGGGGGTGCCATCAAATAAGATCTGGGGTTACAAAGATCCAATCTGTATTAGTCACTGACTCACTGGATGCCCTCCAGAGAAACAAAACTAAGCTCATGTTTTTAGGAACAAGAAAATGCCACCAATCAAATAAATAATGTTGTGTTTGATTGAATGATTTGAGTAGGGATTTGAAAAGGGAAATGGAAAAAGTAGGTGAAATGTAAAAAAAATATACTTACATTTCACATAATTTCACACACCTTTTCCCTTTCCGTTTTCAAATCCCTCCCCAAACCCTCCAACCAAACACAACATAAATCTCGAGGCATGATCGTACTATTAAAAGTGAATTAAAACACGGGACTAGAATTTTGAGAACAGAAATTTTGGTGCCTTCTTACTTGATGCTAACCTATGCCCATCTTGTTACCCAATTTTCTGTTTAGCTGAAGCTTCTATAGCACCCTCAATCTTCTTAATACAAGATTTATAAAGAAACCCTAGATAGTCTACTATGCTATCCTCACAAGCACCTTCAAGAGGGTTTAACTCAAATGTCCAGTCAACTAGGGTTGAATCATCCCCATAATCTACAAGCTTCAATGAATTCACAGACCCATCTAAGCCCACATTACTTGCTTCCATTCTGTAAACGTAACTGTGTGATTTTGGGTCCATGGACACCAACCTTTCCTTGATCCATGACTTGTCTCCATCATGTTGGGGGAACATGAAGCCAGAAACTAGCCTGACATAGCCTGGAACGCCGTCGTCACCAGCCAAATCGGTGCATCTTTCGACCATTGGCATCCATTCTGGCAATCTGTTGGTTTGTGATACTATTTCCCAGACTTTGTGTATGGGTGCTTCCACAATGCCTCCTATTGATCCCTGCCATTTCTTGTTTTCTTGCTCAAAGGCCTGCACTAGGAATAAGAGAAGTGTGTGGAAAAAGAAAATTCAAGAAAAGATAAAATAGAACAAACACACAAGTACACAAACGATTTATGTGATTTGGTTATAAGCCTATGTGCATGGAAGGAGATCTGAAATAACTCTTGAAGTACTCAATTTTCATAAAATCTTAGAATCCTAAAATAACTCAATATACAGAGAGATCTAGAAATAAAAATCCAGATAAGAATAGACTCAAGTGTGAACGGTAAGGGAGTTTCACTATGAATATGGAGAATGCAATGCTGCTCAACACAACTCTACGTTACAGAAAACTCTCAATATCATAAATCCCTAAAATTTCAAAATATAATTTTTTATCCAAATTGAATTCAACATACAATCACAACAAAACTTTTAAAAAGTTAACTACACGTTGTCATGATGTTTTTAAATTCAAATCGAGCTGGTCACAAGCAGAATGAATAGGTAGTGGGTGAGAATCCATACCATGTTTATTTGCTTTATGTTTGGTGGTACAAACAACACAATTGTTGGGAAGCTTGGGCTTGCCCTGCTGTAGGACTGACTAAATAAGGAACTCTTCAAAGGGAAACGCGGTTTTGGGGCTTAATATGCTGCCTACTGATATATTCATCCACTCCTTGCCTTAAGCACTCAAACTCTGTTATAACAAGGCAGACACAATTCTTGTGAGTGAATCCTAAGGAACTATGTTGTTTTTTTGACTTCTTGACAATTTTCTTAATAAGACAAAGGGACGGGGGTTACAAGGGGATGACTCCAAGGTTTTCCATCTTAGGGATTTACAGTTTTTCAAAATGAATTTCAGGGTGCTTTGCTTTCAATTTTAAAGGGTGAATAACTATGTCCCTTTGGACAATGCTTCATAGGGATTCATATATATGCCTGCTTGAAGTTTTTTATTTTTTTTAAACAACCTGCTTCTTAAGAAATTCTAAAAACTTGTTTCCTAATGTTAGAAAAACAAAAACGATGCCAAACAGGCCGGCTTGATAGGTGTTTGTCATGATAAATCATGTAACATAGAAATAAAATTTTAAAAAATAAATAAAAAAAGAGTGAGGAAAAAAAAAACTTCTTGGGGGTGCCATCAAATAAGATCTGGGGTTACAAAGATCCAATCTGTATTAGTCACTGACTCACTGGATGCCCTCCAGAGAAACAAAACTAAGCTCATGTTTTTAGGAACAAGAAAATGCCACCAATCAAATAAATAATGTTGTGTTTGATTGAATGATTTGAGTAGGGATTTGAAAAGGGAAATGGAAAAAGTAGGTGAAATGTAAAAAAAATATACTTACATTTCACATAATTTCACACACCTTTTCCCTTTCCGTTTTCAAATCCCTCCCCAAACCCTCCAACCAAACACAACATAAATCTCGAGGCATGATCGTACTATTAAAAGTGAATTAAAACACGGGACTAGAATTTTGAGAACAGAAATTTTGGTGCCTTCTTACTTGATGCTAACCTATGCCCATCTTGTTACCCAATTTTCTGTTTAGCTGAAGCTTCTATAGCACCCTCAATCTTCTTAATACAAGATTTATAAAGAAACCCTAGATAGTCTACTATGCTATCCTCACAAGCACCTTCAAGAGGGTTTAACTCAAATGTCCAGTCAACTAGGGTTGAATCATCCCCATAATCTACAAGCTTCAATGAATTCACAGACCCATCTAAGCCCACATTACTTGCTTCCATTCTGTAAACGTAACTGTGTGATTTTGGGTCCATGGACACCAACCTTTCCTTGATCCATGACTTGTCTCCATCATGTTGGGGGAACATGAAGCCAGAAACTAGCCTGACATAGCCTGGAACGCCGTCGTCACCAGCCAAATCGGTGCATCTTTCGACCATTGGCATCCATTCTGGCAATCTGTTGGTTTGTGATACTATTTCCCAGACTTTGTGTATGGGTGCTTCCACAATGCCTCCTATTGATCCCTGCCATTTCTTGTTTTCTTGCTCAAAGGCCTGCACTAGGAATAAGAGAAGTGTGTGGAAAAAGAAAATTCAAGAAAAGATAAAATAGAACAAACACACAAGTACACAAACGATTTATGTGATTTGGTTATAAGCCTATGTGCATGGAAGGAGATCTGAAATAACTCTTGAAGTACTCAATTTTCATAAAATCTTAGAATCCTAAAATAACTCAATATACAGAGAGATCTAGAAATAAAAATCCAGATAAGAATAGACTCAAGTGTGAACGGTAAGGGAGTTTCACTATGAATATGGAGAATGCAATGCTGCTCAACACAACTCTACGTTACAGAAAACTCTCAATATCATAAATCCCTAAAATTTCAAAATATAATTTTTTATCCAAATTGAATTCAACATACAATCACAACAAAACTTTTAAAAAGTTAACTACACGTTGTCATGATGTTTTTAAATTCAAATCGAGCTGGTCACAAGCAGAATGAATAGGTAGTGGGTGAGAATCCATACCATGTTTATTTGCTTTATGTTTGGTGGTACAAACAACACAATTGTTGGGAAGCTTGGGCTTGCCCTGCTGTAGGACTGACTAAATAAGGAACTCTTCAAAGGGAAACGCGGTTTTGGGGCTTAATATGCTGCCTACTGATATATTCATCCACTCCTTGCCTTAAGCACTCAAACTCTGTTATAACAAGGCAGACACAATTCTTGTGAGTGAATCCTAAGGAACTATGTTGTTTTTTTGACTTCTTGACAATTTTCTTAATAAGACAAAGGGACGGGGGTTACAAGGGGATGACTCCAAGGTTTTCCATCTTAGGGATTTACAGTTTTTCAAAATGAATTTCAGGGTGCTTTGCTTTCAATTTTAAAGGGTGAATAACTATGTCCCTTTGGACAATGCTTCATAGGGATTCATATATATGCCTGCTTGAAGTTTTTTATTTTTTTTAAACAACCTGCTTCTTAAGAAATTCTAAAAACTTGTTTCCTAATGTTAGAAAAACAAAAACGATGCCAAACAGGCCGGCTTGATAGGTGTTTGTCATGATAAATCATGTAACATAGAAATAAAATTTTAAAAAATAAATAAAAAAAGAGTGAGGAAAAAAAAAACTTCTTGGGGGTGCCATCAAATAAGATCTGGGGTTACAAAGATCCAATCTGTATTAGTCACTGACTCACTGGATGCCCTCCAGAGAAACAAAACTAAGCTCATGTTTTTAGGAACAAGAAAATGCCACCAATCAAATAAATAATGTTGTGTTTGATTGAATGATTTGAGTAGGGATTTGAAAAGGGAAATGGAAAAAGTAGGTGAAATGTAAAAAAAATATACTTACATTTCACATAATTTCACACACCTTTTCCCTTTCCGTTTTCAAATCCCTCCCCAAACCCTCCAACCAAACACAACATAAATCTCGAGGCATGATCGTACTATTAAAAGTGAATTAAAACACGGGACTAGAATTTTGAGAACAGAAATTTTGGTGCCTTCTTACTTGATGCTAACCTATGCCCATCTTGTTACCCAATTTTCTGTTTAGCTGAAGCTTCTATAGCACCCTCAATCTTCTTAATACAAGATTTATAAAGAAACCCTAGATAGTCTACTATGCTATCCTCACAAGCACCTTCAAGAGGGTTTAACTCAAATGTCCAGTCAACTAGGGTTGAATCATCCCCATAATCTACAAGCTTCAATGAATTCACAGACCCATCTAAGCCCACATTACTTGCTTCCATTCTGTAAACGTAACTGTGTGATTTTGGGTCCATGGACACCAACCTTTCCTTGATCCATGACTTGTCTCCATCATGTTGGGGGAACATGAAGCCAGAAACTAGCCTGACATAGCCTGGAACGCCGTCGTCACCAGCCAAATCGGTGCATCTTTCGACCATTGGCATCCATTCTGGCAATCTGTTGGTTTGTGATACTATTTCCCAGACTTTGTGTATGGGTGCTTCCACAATGCCTCCTATTGATCCCTGCCATTTCTTGTTTTCTTGCTCAAAGGCCTGCACTAGGAATAAGAGAAGTGTGTGGAAAAAGAAAATTCAAGAAAAGATAAAATAGAACAAACACACAAGTACACAAACGATTTATGTGATTTGGTTATAAGCCTATGTGCATGGAAGGAGATCTGAAATAACTCTTGAAGTACTCAATTTTCATAAAATCTTAGAATCCTAAAATAACTCAATATATAGAGAGATCTAGAAATAAAAATCCAGATAAGAATAGACTCAAGTGTGAACGGTAAGGGAGTTTCACTATGAATATGGAGAATGCAATGCTGCTCAACACAACTCTACGTTACAGAAAACTCTCAATATCATAAATCCCTAAAATTTCAAAATATAATTTTTTATCCAAATTGAATTCAACATACAATCACAACAAAACTTTTAAAAAGTTAACTACACGTTGTCATGATGTTTTTAAATTCAAATCGAGCTGGTCACAAGCAGAATGAATAGGTAGTGGGTGAGAATCCATACCATGTTTATTTGCTTTATGTTTGGTGGTACAAACAACACAATTGTTGGGAAGCTTGGGCTTGCCCTGCTGTAGGACTGACTAAATAAGGAACTCTTCAAAGGGAAACGCGGTTTTGGGGCTTAATATGCTGCCTACTGATATATTCATCCACTCCTTGCCTTAAGCACTCAAACTCTGTTATAACAAGGCAGACACAATTCTTGTGAGGGAATCCTAAGGAACTATGTTGTTTTTTTGACTTCTTGACAATTTTCTTAATAAGACAAAGGGACGGGGGTTACAAGGGGATGACTCCAAGGTTTTCCATCTTAGGGATTTACAGTTTTTCAAAATGAATTTCAGGGTGCTTTGCTTTCAATTTTAAAGGGTGAATAACTATGTCCCTTTGGACAATGCTTCATAGGGATTCATATATATGCCTGCTTGAAGTTTTTTATTTTTTTTAAACAACCTGCTTCTTAAGAAATTCTAAAAACTTGTTTCCTAATGTTAGAAAAACAAAAACGATGCCAAACAGGCCGGCTTGATAGGTGTTTGTCATGATAAATCATGTAACATAGAAATAAAATTTTAAAAAATAAATAAAAAAAGAGTGAGGAAAAAAAAAAACTTCTTGGGGGTGCCATCAAATAAGATCTGGGGTTACAAAGATCCAATCTGTATTAGTCACTGACTCACTGGATGCCCTCCAGAGAAACAAAACTAAGCTCATGTTTTTAGGAACAAGAAAATGCCACCAATCAAATAACAGACACTAAAAAACTGCTTGACCTCTCCATCTTATACAAGACAAATTCAATTTCAACATTATGAATTGTCAATCTGAGTCTAGCCATAACATGAACACATTGTTCTTCTATTATACAAAACCCATATGGGAAATTGCTTTAATTCTTGTTCCGTGATTCAAGAAAAATGCAGCAAACAAAGCAGCTGAGCTTAAACAGCAGCTCCAACAGGCACACCACCGGCCTTGAGCCTGGAGGAACCATATAGAGTTTCTTCAAATCGGATAATCTCATTCTTGGATCCGTAAGCTACTTGAGTCCTATCATCAAGATTAACGATCACCTTGTCGAGCACAGACTGTTTTCCATCGCTGCTGTAGCCCCCGGCTTTCTCAATCAGGAATCCCAGTGGAGCCACCTCGAAGAGAAGCCTCAACTTGGCTTTGGAAGATGGGGATGTCACATTTGTGAAAATACCTTTCTCCTTTACAATGATCTGCAGATGAAAAACAAAAACAAGAATGAATTTTGTTTTTGAGAATGTTAGATCTCACAGGAGTAGTTAGGGCTGTAAGGCAATTAAACTACTTGAGTTCGACTTGTGTTTGACTCATTACGAGCTCATTCATTATATAAACAAGTCAAACTTGAAAACATTTTACAAATCGTTAAAGTTTCAAGTCAATTAGCTCGATAGACTTTTATGCACTATAAATAAATAAATAAAATCAAGTTTTCGAATTTGGCTCAATTAAAACTTGTTTAAGATGAACTTGAATGGTAAAGAAGTCAACTTGAACACATTTGAAGTTACTGAAGTTCGGTTCGGTTAAAGCTTGTTTGAGATCGGCTTGAGTGGTAAACAAGTCTAGCTTGAACATATTTTGAAGCTTGTTGAATTTTTCAATCTAAACTTGAGCAAGCTATTATTTGGCTTGACTCAGTTAGTTTAAAGCTCTAAGTGCAACTTTCATTGCAACTAGCCAACTCAAGTTTTAATTTTTAGGCTGCGCATGGATATTGGATTTGTGGAGGGATTTATTGAGTTAAGGAAAATGAAAAGAGAAATCAAGTAGAAGCTAAACTTTTTATTTTTTGCTCCATAAATCCAAGATCCAAACACAACCTAAAGAAACTATAATTGCAGTTAAAATGTGTTAAAGAGGATTGAAGAGGTGCAATGACCTGGTTAACATCGGGCACCATTCCTCCAGTGTACCGCAGAGTGTATTTCTCTCTTACATAGTAGTTGATAAGCTGTTGTTCATATTTGCAAAGTTAGAAATTCAAAATGTTTCTTGTTTTATCAGCAAAATGACATTAACAAAGCAACATGTCTGAAACAGAAGAAGAAGAAGAAAAGAAAGAAAAAAAAAGGAGCAAACGTTGATGGTAGAAATTTAGAAATTAAGTGATAGACCTTATCATAGTCAGGGTTGTCGAATGTGGCTCTCAAATTTCCAGGTGAGAACATCTTTCCCTCACCAATTTCTGTTGTATCTTTGACATGTATCCATTTTCCTGGAAAATTTTATAGAGACAGAAATTGGTTTAAAAAGGAACATCGAAATTTCACATCGACAGTTTGCAAACTCAGCACCAAAAATTCCTACAATTTGACAATATTGTTCAAAGCAAACCTTCATCAAGAAGAAGGAATTCATGGGTGCCGGGGATGTCCTTGAGAGCAAGAACATAAGTAGTTCGAGGTCCATAAATCCCCATGGCTGCAGCAACTTGATCTCTTCCTGTCACACCAGTTAACTTGTCTCCGGGCCACACCCCAAAGATGGTTCCAACTGTGAAATTCGTGTCAACGATGCTAGAACCATCAAGCGGGTCAAAAGCAACACTGAATCCACCTGTTCATATTTCAGAAAACCAAATGGTCAAAAAAATTGTCATGATTTTTCTTTATTTATTTATGTATTTTGGTTTGTGCTTGCAAACCTTGAGCTGGGCCTCCCATGTCTTGGAGTTCAGGGACTTCTTCAGAGCAAGCATATTTGCAATAGTGAGAGAAAGTCAAGGCCTAAGCATCAAGAGTCAGAGAAATCATTATAAATGCAAATTTCATGTTAAATCATATGGTTCCAATCACGAAACAGAAAAAATAACATGAAATAAACACACACACAATATGCCTACATCTACAGAGGAGAAGAGATCAAATCTACTATGCACAACAAGGATTACAGAGCTCAGAATCTTTCAACTCAGCTACTCAACAATACTGTCGCATTCTCACAGAAACCAGCCTAACGGCCTCAACCCTCCACCCTCCATAAAAGACCTTTATAGTAAATTTGAAAGTATAGTAAAAAATACAAGACACCTCACATGGAGTAGAGGATGCAAAGAATGAGCTTGAACGACCCTTAGTAAACTTCCACATATAAGTTTAGAGAGAGAGGGTCTCGGATCTAGGGTTTGCTCAAAAAAAGAAAGTGAAAAAGTGATGTTCAAAACGCTACTGTCCGCTGATATAAAACACTCTCGCTCGAGCGAAGCCTTCGTCGCTCGAGCGACCAGACACAGAAAACTCTCGCTCGAGCCAAGAAGCTCTTGCTCGAGCCAAAAACTCAAAAGTGCGCTCGAGTGAAAGAATGCTCGCTCGAGCCAACAACTCAAACCCTCAGGTCTGCAACCACAAGCACGCTCGAGCGAAGAACAAACCAGACCGCTCGAGCCAAGAAAAGCTCGCTCGAGCCAAGAAACGCAACTCTCAGGTCCAGAACTAGACACCATCGCTCGCTCGAGCGAAGCCACTCTGGCTCGACCCACCAGACACAAACTCAACTCTCGCTCGAGCGACAAACACCTCGTTCGAGCGAAGGGCCAAAAATCTGGGCAGCAACACTAGGCTCCCAAACACAGCCAACCTGAAACAAACCTGCCCAACACATCCTATAATTCAATAAGAAGTAAAAAGGATGCAAACAAGATAATAAACAACTACCAACATCCACGAACACATGTCCGGATCACTGTACAACAAGGGTAAACCCGGGATCGCTATATGTGCTGAATGTTCTGCATGACCCCTTGTAGTTGGAGTTTCATAGCTCGGAGTTCAGCGTCCCAAAGGGGAATGTTGTCGCCATGGTTGGTCAATGGGGGCTGGACACTACTGGCTTCCCCCTCAGGAGCCAGTATTGCGACTGACAGGCGTGGAGGTGGAGGTGGAGGTGGTAGGCTTACATGTGGGGACGAAGGGGGTTGTAAACCTTCTGGGTTAAGCGGAGGGGGTTGTGGAGCAGTATGGCCTGGGGTTGTTTCTTGGTTGGGTGGGATATCTGGAGGTGGAGCGGGGAGGTTTCTTTGGAGTAAAGCATTGATCAAGGCCTGGTATTGCTCGGCCATGCGGTTAATGTTGTTGGTGAGTTCGGTGATGTATTGTGGTGGGTTGGTTGGGTGGGAAGGATCTGTTTGATGATCGGCGGTATTGTGGTGAGAAGCCATGGACCTAGTCGTGACCATACACTTGGACGGGTAAGAGGAAAAGGTAACAGTGAGAAAGGAGGGCTCCGGCGATAGTGAGCACAACTAGAGCACGAATAAACCACAAAGTTCCCACAGACGGCGCCAACTGATAATGCAGTTCGTCCCGGGTGGATGGGTCGGGCTGGTCCAGGCTCTTCAAGTTCTGGTTCAGGGTGATGATTCCGCCAAATGACCTGCAAGCAAGTCCAAAGGGGAACGGGGCAGTCCCCCAGTGAACCCTCTGACGAGAGAACTAGTAGAGGAAGAGGGAAATGTAGAGAGAGAGAGAGAGAGATAAAAAACTTAACCTTCCTCTTGTCTTCCATTCTTGCTTATATCCTTTGGTAATCATTTCACTGTCTCTCGTGACGTGCCCCCTTCCGCCGAAAGCCTGTGCCGTAGCTTACCTTGTTCAGGGTGAGGGGGCTCTGTTCCGACGGGGAGGTGTTGTCGTAATAAATGCTGTGATGGGCTGCATTAATGGTGATGTGTTGTGGCAATAACTCTGCAGATCTTTGTCTGCTGATGTGGCTTGTGTTTCATCTGCCATGTGTCCGAATGCCATTGGCCCTCCACGTCCAGGTGGCCTCCAACTGTCCTGGGCTTTGCCAACCGGGTTATGCTATGGGTCCCAAGCGATGGGTTTGGGGTTGTTTGCTGTTGGCCGTAAGCCTTGTGGGCCTATCCATGTCACCAATATATGCGATCCATAAAAATGACGGAGAGAAATGAAAATATAGTGATTTTTCCATTCATGGCACAAGGTCACATAATAGCCTTTTTAGGTTTAGCCCTGCAAATTGAACAAAGAGGCTACAACATTATCTTTGTGAACACCCCAATTAACATCAAGAAACTCCAACAATCACTCCCACCCACCTCCTCCATTCGCCTCCTTGAAATTCCCTTCAACAACTCCGAGGATGATGACCTCCCTCCGGGCGTTGAGAACACCGACGTGCTTCCCCCAAATCTCATCGTCAACCTCATCAAAGCCTATGTCTCTCTCAAGCCCTCTTTCCGTCAACTCATCTCCAACCTCACCACCGACTGCGGAGGCAATCCGCCACTTTGCATCGTTGCCGACATATTCTTTGGTTGGTTGGCTGAGATCGCACACGAGTTTGGGGTGTTCCACTCCATCTTCAGCTGCTCCGGTGCGTTCGGCTTGGCCTGTTACTATTCCTTGTGGATGAACTTGCCTCACCTGAATTCTAATTCTGCAGCAGAGTTCAGCTTCCCTGATTTCCCCGAATCTGGCCGATTCCACACCACGCAGCTGGCAGCGAACATGTTGGTGGCCGATGGCAACAACCCACCTTCGGTTTTTCACAGGAAAAACCTTCCGGCATGGTCAAATTCCGATGAACTTTTGTTTAACTCAGTTGAAGAGCTAGACATGATTGGATTGGCCTATTTCAGGAGCAAATTGGGACGATTAGTTTGTCCGCTGGGGCCCATACTTCTTCCGCCGGGAAAATGAGCCGGAAAATCAGCCGGAATTGCAGCAGAGGGATGCATCAAATGGCTCTGCACAAAACCAGAAAATTCAGTAGTGTACATTTCATTTGGGTCGAACAACACTATCTCAGCGTCACAAATGATGCAATTACCTAAAGCATTAGAGGAGGTTAATAAGAACACAAATTTTATATGGGTTGTTAGGCCGCCATTGGGGTTCGACATAACGGCCGAGTTTTGAGCAGAGGAGTGGTTGCCGGAGGGGTTTGTAGAGCGGGTTGTGGATGATCAGAAAAGAGGTCTAATTGTGGCACAATGGGCACCCCAGGGGGAGATTTTATCGCACAAATCTGTTGGTTCGTTTTTAACTCAATGCGGATGGAACTCTGTACTGGAAGGGCTCAGCCACGGCATGCCGCTGATGGGGTGGCCGATGGCGGCAGAGCAGTTTTTCAGTGCCAAGTTCTTGGCTGAGGAGATAGGGGTTTGTGTGGAGGTGGAAAGGGGGTTTAATGTTAAGGTTAGGCATCAGGATATAGTGGAGAAGATAGAGTTGGTGATGGGTCAGAGTGAGCAAGGGAAGGAATTGAGAAGGAAAGCTGGTGAGATCAAGGAGATGATTGAAGATGCCATTAGAGATCAGGATGGTTTCAAGGGGTCTTCTGTCAAAGCTATGGATCAGTTTCTTGATGCTGCCTTGTTGATGAAGGAGAAGACAAAAAATGGCTTACACACAGCAAAATAGTTAGGTGTTCAAGGAGCAAGGATCCTGGTCCCCAAATCATTCACGATTATATGAGAATTTCAAGATTTAGGAATCTGAAGACATATCCAATAATTATGAGTGAATTGAGAAAGGGGACAAAGATATTTGGAGAGAGGGGATCTTTGGGCATGTTGAAGTGATTGGGTTGGTAATATCCAAGCAAAATAATTAATGTACTTTGTTTACTCCCTTGCTGAATCGTTTGGAAATAAATTGTGAAGTTTTTTTTTGGTTCAGTTGTTTTTCTGCCTTTTTGTTATTGGTGTTAGGTACAATGAGTATAGATCCTCCCTACCGGTAGTGGTGTAGTGTAATTTATGGTGCTTTTGCTGATCCCTCACATTGAAAGTGGGAAGAATGGAGGGATGAGATTGCTCGTTACCCAACGATGTCGATTTTTTATTTATTTTTTTACTTGCCTGCCCTCCCTCTCTCTCTCTCTCTCTCTCTCTCTCTCTCAATTTATTTATTTATTATTTTTTTTTCTTATCTTTGGTGAGTGCTACATATGCAATTCTATTAAACATCATTGAAAACAATTTTTTTCGTCATTTAGTTTGTAGTTTTTTTTAGTGAATGGGAGAAACCTCGATTTAGATTTGTTCTGCTATGCAAATTCACCCATATGAGGTTTTGAAGTTTCACTTTCTTTATGTCTAAACAAATTTTAGATTTGTGAACAGGTTTGTGACCTAAGTCAGATGCTCGTCTGGGTTGGAGCTCGTCTGTTCGTTGAACGTTATGGGTCGCCACTTCCGCTCTCCATCATGTCTCTCCATCACCAATCTTGGTTGCTATTCTTCATTGAACGTCGTGGGTTGCCACTCTCGCTCTCCGTCTCTGCTTTTTGCTTTCTCAAATTTGGGAATTCTGATGTGTCAAAAAAAACAAACTCAAAACCACATCGTTTTGATATGGAATAATCTAGACTCCCATTTTTTCCACTTCTGATGTGGCGCGCTCGTAGCAAAAGCATTATATATTGCCCTACACCATTACCGCTACAAAAACATCCACACCCGCAACAATGGTTTGGCTTCTACCAAATTCACCTGTGTTTAAAGCCTAACAAAAAGGAAATTCTATTCCCATACATTTACTTATCTCAGTGCACATACTTAATCAAATATTATTTTAACCATAATTATATTTTTAAAGTAAAATGATCTTAATGGACATCAAAACATACTCATAATATTAAGTCAAAATTTTCTCTGTTCACATAATTTAAAAATAAAAAAATTTCAATATTGAGTAAAAGAAAAATTAAATCCTAATTTTTCCATGGTTTCTTACTTTAAATCAAGTAAAAGGATTATTAAATTTCTAGTGCGTGTGCTTACAAGTTTCAAAGCCAACACAAGGACAAATCTATTTAAAAGTCATAAACATTCATA